CAACAAATCGCAACTGATTTTTTAGTTTGTTTTCCCCCAATTCAAGATGGTTAATTCTAAAACAACTTGATACAGAGTGACATCACGCCGACAAGATGGATAAAGGCTATTAATGCCTCGGTTTTAGGACGGGTTTAGCGGATCCAAACCCGACCTGAATACAAGTCTTGATTTGGTTGGGTCGATCCGAACCCAACACATTATACGGGTCTTGGTTTGGGTCGAATATCAGGTCTGGAAGGGTCTTTTTATTAACCTGATCCGTACCGATCATGTCAAAACTGAACCAGTTCCAGTATACTGGAAATGGTTCATTTTGACATGATCAGTCTATAGAACTATAATATTGGTGTTGGTCTACGAGTTTTGGTACGAGCATGTGTCTTAAAGCCGGCTGAATAAAAATAAGCAATTGCTTTTCATCAGTTCAAAACTTCAGCAGTTTTGGTAAAACTTTTATTTGCGTAAAGTTAAGCAATTTAATCAGTAATTGCTCAGCTTTACGTAAATAAAGACTTAGAAAAAATTGCTTAAGTTTTTATTCACGTAAAGTCGACCAATTACTGAGTAAAAGCAATTGTTCATTTTAATTCACCCGGCCTATCGTGTCCACCAAGAAGGGTTTTCAGGTCATTCCGGTTCCCGTCAGAATTACAATATTTGAGGCCTAAATGCTAGAACTTATCTTTTTTTAAAGATATTTGACACAGACATGACACAATTATGCTAAGATTTTTACAATTTTTGTGGTGCAAAAAGAGTTAATGTATATATAGAAATAGGTTTTATATATATATATATATATATATATATATATATATATATATATATATATATATATATATATAATATATAACTTAAAAATATATGTTATGAAGCCAAGATACTGAGGTACCTCAGATGTGAAAGCCTGCACCTTGGTGCAGGCTTTCACTTTCAATCTTGAAGGTAAAAAACAATATTTATATTTATGCAATTTTTCACCGGCTGCTCCGGTCGGAATTAAAATTTTCCATTCCGATACACCCCTAGAATAAACTAATAGTTTGTAAACAAGCAATCTTAAAAATTATAAAATTAATAATTAATAAACATAAGTAACATATATTTTATCAATGTAAACAACAACAGATTTAAAATAATTAAACCAAAAAAATCAAAAGTTAAATTCTGTCGAAGTTAAAAAATGGTGGTATAGCCCTACTATTCTAACGTCATAATATATACGATACCAGATCAAGGGGGCTATAGCCGTGGATCCTGCAAATTTAGAGGCCCCCAAAAATTGTAGAGCGCTTTTTCCTTTTTTTTTTTTTTTTTTTTTTTTTTTTTGTAATTTTTAGGGTCTGGCCCATAAGAAGGCCTCCAAAACCAAAAATAGCCCCGGGCACTAAAATACGCTTACCTTGTTTATTTATATCATTTTTAATCTTTGAGTCTAATTTTTTGTACTTTAAGGTTATTGCATTGGTTAATAAAAGGTTATAGCTTTCTTTAGATAAGTGATATAAATTAGTACTTTTATCGGCAAAAGTATAAGTGAGATTACAATTGTGTATATTAGATATGTCATCTTTTAATTTTCTTTGGAAACGGCTATAAACTTTACGAAACCTAATATTTCTTATCATTTCTATTAGATCACTTTCATATGCGGACATATCGGTAATTTGAATTAGTAAATCCATAATTTCCAATATAAATTCTGAACTTGTGAACATTCTCCATCTAAATCAGTGGGAAAAAACGCAAGATGTTATAACCTGATTTAGGTCCATAAATGATACGTATCGTTATTAATTTTTATTTTTGATATTGTCGATTTTTACGGTCTTGAGAAATAAGTGGAAAGTTATTATACGCAAGCGCAGTAGAGTTAAAAATTATTTAGAATTTTAAAAATGGCTAACGGTCTTTTGTATAATTCAAAATAAAATTTTGAATTTTACAAAAATCGCAGACCTAGAATACTTTCGACGGTTGATACGCATGCGCTTTAAGTGCACCGTATTCTGAATTATACGAACGACCGCTAGCCAATATCTTATTTTGAATTCTGGAACAGAACCCTCCGAATTGTACTAAGACTAGCTTTGCTCTACAAAATTTTGTAATACTTTTTAGATTAAAATGAGTGAAGATAATATTTCTCTAAATTTTGAGCATTGATTAGGTATAAAGTTTTTCTTTACCTTTTTTTTTTTGTAAAATATATGATGCCGAAATAAGAATATACTTATTTCTTTTCAATCTTTTTTTTTTTTTTTTTTTATAATTAAAAGTGTATTATAAACGTTTACCAAGTTTAGAATGTAAATTTAGAACATTGCTCTTGAAATAAATTTATTTACTGAAATGTGTATGCAACTATCTATTTTAATCAAATATGTACCATGTTTTGAAAGTATACTTTAGTTTCTTGTATGAAATTTATAAATTAGTATAATGAAAATGCATTCAAAAAAACTATTTTGTATGTTGTATACTAGATAATATACTTGATAACCTGGTAAATATAGCTTTGTTTGTTTGTTTGAAAATAGATGCACAGCAAATTGATGCACAACCAAACACTGCTGAAGCTTTAAATCCGGCTGCTGCGACAGAAAATAAGTACATATTGGCCAGATATGCAAATGCAAGAATAATAGAGCACAATGTTTCACAGAGTGCATTATGTTGTAACTTTCAATTTAGAAATGAAAAAAATGTTGAAGGTTTGCAATGTTAAATAATTTTTTTTTAAATGGTTTTTACAATACTAGCTTTTTAATTTACTGCATGTGAAGTAAACATTTTTATAGAAGAGAGTGTTCCCAATGAAAAATATGTCCAAAATGATATAAGGCATATGCTATATACCTAATATCATTTTGGTGTTATGTTGTTAATTTAAAAAAGATTCTGTATAGAAAGTTTCTTATTTTTTATATGAAATTTTTTGCTGTTTGTTATTAAATTTAAAAATTAAAATTATTCATTAAATTTAATTGAAATCCTTATTTTTGCCCTTGTTTTTAACTAGTGGTTACACTGGCTTAGCTAAATTTGTGTTCTGTTTTAACCATGCTAAACATAAAATAACAATCGTGATTTATACCTTCAGGGAAAGTCAAAGCAAAAGTGTCTTTTTGAACTGGTTTAGTAAAAATCAGGGAATTTACTCAGAGAATAATAAAGCATTTCTAGTTCTAAATTTCTTTTTTTTTTTTTTTTAACTTAGGATTTGTCAATGAAATCTTGAAATGTCAAATGTTCATTATGTTTAAGTTTAATCATTTTATATATATATTATTTTATTAAGTGTTTAATGTTTTTAAAATTTTCTTTTTATATATAAGTTTTAATAATCTACTACCTAATGTTCGTTGAACATTAAAAAAATTTTTTTTTTTGTTTTATTATTTTAAATAATTGTAAATATTAATGCTAAATATTTACAATTATTTAAAATAAGAAATCTTATTTTTAACATTTATTTCAATTTTTTAAAGCTTTCGCTTTTTTAATTCTTTTTTTGTGCCAAATATTTTAACTTGGCAAAAACAAATTCAATGTTAGTTATGGAATTGCACCTTACTACAGGGACTTTTTAAAAATACAAGTCTGTGCATTAGACTGTTGCTATTTGTTGCTGGCTGGCATTAGACTGTTGCTGTTTGTTGCTGGCTGTTTGTTATGTTAAAAGTTTGAACAAAGTCATTCAAATGGTTTATCTGGTTTGGATTTATCTAAACAAGTACAACTATCTATACATGGTTCTAATGTGAACTGGAAGGTCTCAGGGAAATGCAATCGGAAAAAGACGAAGCTGGTTTGAGTTAATTTGTAAACATTGTCATCAAAGAACAGATGATCCTATGTTGTCTTTTCTTGGCAAGGACCTAGAGATGCTGCATAGATCCCTAATTCAGTTGGTTGTTAAAACTGATATTTTCCTTAAATGTTATTCTGTTCTTAACTTATTAGAGCTTGATATTACTGATAAAAGTATTTATCTAGAGATAAAAGATATTCATTTAGATTTTCGACTTAAAAAAAACTTCAGAATTTATTACGTCAAGATAAAATGAAATCTGCAGATGTAAAAAAAGTTAAAGAAGGACGCTGCAAATACGGTAATTTTTTTTTTGGAGAAAATCACTCGAAAAAGTTCATTACATCATTGCATGGTATGAATTGCAAGTGTGTTTGATTCAAGTTCCTGTATATGACCAATCCAATCGATAGATCCAAATTCTGTATGCAACTGGTCAAATTACGAAGCAAGATGAAACAACTCTTGACTTGTTGAAGATTATAAAAGATATAAAAAGGGATTTTTATTCGGTTAATATTAATTTGTAGCGTTTTCAGTTTAGATTAATTTTCTTTTTCGTCTTGGCATTTAGTTATGAATCAAAAGGAAAGTATATGAACTTAACCTTTTGAAATCATTTTTATCAGTAAGCACCAACGTGAAGGTAGCCAAGATACGCTTACCGCCCTAAAAAAAAGTAAGAAGCATTCTCAGATTTCATTAACTGGAAAACCATTTTACACTCTATGTCACTATATTAATAGAGAGAATCTAAAACGAGGCGCCTCACAGGAAAAGGTACCAAGTCTTTATTTCTAGACTCGAAGATATACGCGTTTTAAGAAAAGAAAAAAAAAGTTGAAAAATTTGAATCTAGCTTTATTCTTTTTTCGAGCAGTTTTATAATTATTTAGTAATAGTTTTTAAAATAAATATTCAAAATATACATTAACTTTATTACTATTTTTAAGTTACACAGTTTTAAAGTATGTCAAACTTTAATAACTCATATTATACTGTAATTTCATTTTTAAAACACTTCCTTGAAAAACTATGTAAAAAGAAAATGTAACAATAATGATGCTATCAAGTTAATTTTTGTTTTATTTTGTGTCTTATTATTATCCTCTATGCAACTGTATCAGTAACTCCATTTCTAAGACTTGGTACCTTTTCCTGTGAGATGCATCTCATATATATATTCTTTTTATATAGCCCTAACGGCTTATACCACAAAAAGGCTCTATTTCATTAGTATACCGATTCCAATTAGGTATAAGCAGTTCAATGTCAATAATATTACCAGCACAATGACACAAACAAATCAAATAGGGCATTTTATACCAGTACAAAGACAACAGTATATTTGTGCCAAATGTTAAAAATACATGTCATCAAAATGGTATAAATCTATAGTGAAAGATTTAAACTACATTAAATCATCATGTAAAATGGTTTATTGCAATAATACTATAGTTGCAATAATTATCAACAACTTAAGACAATGCCTAAAAAGATTTAATTTTTAAACTATTGGCAGATATATAAAATTAAAAAACAATACAAGCCTCATTTCATGACAAACTCTTTTTATAGCCTCAATTTTATGACTAACTCTTCTTACAGCTGTGACAATTCCATAGTTCATCTTCTGTTTCATAGGCACTCTGCGGTATCTTTTCGCATTCGCGATGATACCATTTTTGGCAAGTGTTACATTGAGCCATTTGTCTTAAAAATAAATTTTGTCTAATGTTATTATTTATACTATTGATTATTATATTATTATTGTTAATTAATATTATAGAAAATTAAACAACATCTCAAATGATATATTTTACCTGTTAAAGATTTTATCATCTTTAGGAGACCAAAACATGCGACATGAGCAATGTAAAAGTACGCGGAATGTCTTTGCTCCACATCTGCGAAACCCATTTGAATTAACAGCGAGTGGGAAAACATCTAACTGGCTGTTTAATATACAATGTAGAAGATGTTTTCGCATTTTATTTTGCTCAAATGTTATTGTAGTTGATGGTACACCCTTTGCCTCAAGGATTTGTCTAGCCCAGGCAATAGCATACATTCCACAATCAACACCATTAGTTTGCTGTTGAATGGGTAATACTTTAATAACAATATATTTTAGATCACAATGCAGAATGGAGCATATTTGTCTTTTTGTGTCAAAAGAAACTGATCCATGAAAAAGGCTGTCAAAAAGAAATATTTCTCCTGGTTTGCAATTGTAAGTGGTCACACAAACCCAGTGGAGATTGCCATCATGTAGAATTTGAACAAATGGAATGCTTTGAAGTATTTCAAAGGATAGAACTTTTCCTTTGATAGGATCTTGCAGACCAATATTGATACCTAATTGCACTGACATGACTTGCTGACAAAAATGAATGATATTATCATTAATCATTTGTTCTTTTTCAATTTCATTCCATTCTATATTTCCAATCAAATATGATTTCAGATATTTAATACGCTGAACAGTGTTTTGCTGTTTATTTGCATCATTACATACATTAGCTTTTAAAATCTCATTTATCAAAACTTCTTCAGTTTGAATGGAACTTTGAATAATAGATTCACAGGGAACTGTAAAGATTTCACAATTTTCATCTATGGAGTGACATGTAATTATCTCAGAGTCACATGACAACAAAGAATCATTTTTATTTATTACACTAATAACTGAGGCTGCTTTATACATGTCATAGTTTTTACCAACTTTTTTAGTCAGTTTTCTTTTGCGTCTTACTGGTAGCTGTCCAAGTCTTGGTAAATTTGACTGAGACTTGTTCCAAATATCTGGTTTATTTTCTGGACGCAAGAAAATACCTTGTTCCACTGGAAGACTTTCTGCTAAGTTTGTTTTGAGTTGATTAAGCCCTGCAAACAAATTATCAATAGCTTTTTGCGAGGTGCATAAATAAGTCATTTGTGTTATTTGATTTATAAGTTCACGACATTTTTCAGAAGTGGGATGATTGTTTTTAACTTGACAGTTTAGCTCTGTATTGTTTTCTTTTTTATTCTGACCACTTACTACTGTTTGCTCAATTGGATCTTGCATTAATTTTGTTTGCGCCACAAGATTATTTTGCAACAAAATGTTGCTGGAATGAAGAAACTGTTGAGATGAAGTGGCATATTCATTATCTTCCAAAAATAAATCTAATGTGAAATAGGGTGAGTTGGCATATAAAGTACCTAGTGCAGACCATGTGAGATTTTCTTTGAGGAATATACCAAAGAAATGTTTGCATGGATATGCTGAATCAAACCAACTAGGACATGAACAAGTGGGCAAATTTTCACCATCACCAAGGTAGCATTGGTAAATTTCTCTACTATTTGAATTAAATGAAGCAACACTGTACAATCTTTCTGTTACAGAAATAATACCACTTAAGTCGACACCTTGTAGTTTATCTATTAACATCATGCAATGTTTCACTAAAGGTCGAGGACGATTAACTAAATATTCTGGTATATTGTTATTGTATTTTCTGTAAGATGAATGCGCCTTTTTATTTTTATCACAATAGCTAAAAATAATGTGTATGACATATCAATATAATTTAAAAACATATATTAAAAATACTGTACATTAATATAATTTTTTTATTGTTATTTTTTTGATTATTTTTTATTTTAGTTTTTTCTTATTCTAGTGCTATTAGTTATTGTGTAGCAATTTTTAAAAAAAAAAAATTTTTATTTGGAAATTTTAGAAATTTTTTTTACTTTTTTTACAACAAAATTTTTTAAAACAAATACAAGTTATCTAAATTACCTCATTCTTAATGAGCTTATTTGGAGTACTGAGATTCATATTGTATTTAATTCAAAAGTTCCAAACTACCCATGTTACATTTATATCAAACCTCTCTTAAATGCAATCTGACACTATTTTTTAACAAAATATATCTCTTAGTTTCTCTAGCAAACAAACTCTAGAAATATACTAATTCTGCTGTGACAAAAATTTAAATAAAAAACTTTTTGTACAGTCACACTGTAGCTTAACACCCCCATCCTTATGTGAAATTTGGTTGCACTTTCCACTTTTTAATACACTTTTCCTCATTAAGACTTTTACTTATTATTTTAACAGCAACATAAGTATTTGAAAATATATAAGTTTAACAATATAGAAATCTTGTAGTGAAAATTTAGTTTTTATTCCTTTTTTTTATTATAAAATCTGCCTGTTAATCCCCAAAAACCTCAAATAGCAATTTAATTTTATCATATTTCATGTTCTTTTAAAACCCTGCACTGTAAACTAACCTGTCATAGTTATGAGGAAGAAATTCTTCAATGCAAATATTAAGCATAGAAGTTAGTGAAGAATTCTTTCTTTTTTCAAGGAAGCTGTATTTGAAAGTTTGGTTTTGTCTTTCAATGCCATTGTTGGTGTTAACATTCAGCAAGAGACGATCTTGCCTGTATGCAAACGCCCATCTCTAAAAGAAAAAAAAAAATTTCCCAAAAATTGGACTCTTTATTCTCAGCGATTATAAGAAGCTGTATGTATCACTAAAATACAAGTAAAGATAGTCTATAACTTATTACAAAAATTTTTTTTGCTTGAAAACCGACAAGCAGTTAAATTCTAAACAAAACTCGTACTAACCTTTTGAATACACAACCATGTATGTTTCAAATATTCTGCCAGTTTTGGACTATTTTGCCACTCTTGCGACTCTTCTAATTCCTGCACTTTTTTTTGGAAAATTTCATCAGTTTTTGCATATGCAATAGCTCGAAGTTTTTCCTTTACTTTATTTTTCACCAAGCAACATCCATTAGCGGTTTTAGAAAGCCATCGTTCCCATGCTTGTTCACGATGAAAGTCACAAATATGTACCTGGCATCCTAGTTAATGAATCATTTGTTAATTTTAAAAAACTCTTCATTATATAGCACCAAAGATAAATTTGCCAATTTGATGTTTACTAGAGCACCACTATTGGTACATATAAAATAACAAATTCTAAAAAATCTTACCAGGGAAAACAGATTCAAGTGAATTTATTTCTTCATTGCTGTAATCAGTTAAAAAATAAGTTGGTTGAAACAATGGATTCCACTTTTTGATGTACATTAGGGCTTCTGTAATTGCCTCAGTTGTTTCATTTTCACAAACAAAAATTGCAACAACTTGATAATCAATATTTGTTTTGACAACAAGAAAAAAAAGTGGAAGCGCATATCGCGTTGTACGATATTTTGCATCCAGAAAGGCAAGCTCATTCCCATATCGTAAGAGTAATCTTTGTTGCCATGCATCTTGATAAATAAACAAAAAAGAATCTTTAGGATATGGACCATTGTCTTCTAGATTGCATTCTCCTTTTGGCCGAAACATTATTAACGCATCTGGAAAATAGAGTTTCCATTCATTTATCTTTTCACGAAGACATTCTTGATCTATCAAAGATCTGCGAAGACTTTGTCTAGCTTTCTTTATATGATTAGCAATTGTTTCATCACGCGGAAAAAATCGTTTGTTGGATTTCTTTGCAGTCACATCTGACTGAAGTTCCAGATGAACAAAGGCATTCAGGTGACGTCTCATTTCCGGAACCGTATTGACACTATTTTTAACAAGTTCAGCAATTTTTGTAATAATTTCTTTTGATAAAGGCTGATTAAAACCTGCTGCCTATATATATATATATATATATATATATATATATATATATATATATATATATATATATATATATATATATATATATATATATATATATATATATACATACATATATACACACACACACATACAAAATATTGTAAACAAAAAAAAAGTAAGGTAAAAATAAAATAAATTTTCAATCAAATGTAAAAGTGACACATTAAACTTATTAAATTAAGTATAAAAACAAAATTTACATCATTAATAAGATGATTTTTATGAACGGAAATGTCAGGTAACAATAAGATATACTTTCTAAGAATTGAAAATTCAGTTAGAGTTGTCAAAGCTGAATGCAATTTCTTTGATGCTTCTCTTCTACCTCTTAGAGAATCTCTATCCAGCTAAAATAAAAACAAACAGATTTAGTAAAATATTTAAAAGAAAAACCTATTTGCCATAAATGAGAACAGTAAAATATAGACTTAAGAAATTTGAAACCTCCTAAAATTGTAATATTAGTTAAAGGTTTATTTAAGCATCAAATATAATGAACAAAGTTGAAAATACAAACAACATTTTTTGATTCGAACCTCGGACCTCTGGGTTCTGAGCCAGAACTCTAACCACTATGCCACAGCTGCTCAAAGTTTTAATATTTATTTATTATCTCATTTTCCCTCATTTCTTGTTTATTATTTCAATTAGGATTTAGCTATTAATTTCTGTCTGTTTTGATGTTATAGGAGGCTCAATAATTCTTTTTGATTATGGATCAAATGATCGAGACCGGTTACTGACTGATAATAGTTTTTTAGTTGCTTAGGATTACAAATATATAACTTTCTATAATTATATACAACAATGTAGGGTCTATGATGTTTTCTTTGAATTTCTCTTATACTCTTTTTCTTATTTTCTATGCCTCTAGGCTATCTTCTTCTCTTCTAACTGTTTGCTAGATTTGGAAGTTTGGTTGTGTTCAGTCACAGCAGAAAGTACATAGAAGAACTGACTCAAATAGAGTTAAATGCAGATAAGTGTACATACATCAAGCAAACTTTAAATAAGTTTATAAGTTAGACTACCTCACCTTAAAAGCAGGGAATTCAACTATTTCTTTTAGAGAAATATTGGCAGGACAATCAAACTTCTTGGTATCCTGCATAAGAACTCGCTTTTTCTGGAAAGAATGATCTGCTGTCTGTGAATTAAAAAAAACAAAAAACTATTGTATTAAAAATAAATCAACATATATTGTTGTATAATTTACCAAAACACTTTCTTCTGAAAACACAATGAAGATTATATATTTATTGTATAACTTTTAAACTGTAAAATCTGAACTAGCACATTGTAGCAGACAACATACCAAATAAAATCTACATTTTACTTACTGCTTCTTGGTTTTTTTTCATTCTGTACTTATTTTTTGCTGCACAATTTTTGTCTTTACCCTGTTGGCAGTAAAGAATACTAGATGAAGAAAAAATAAAAGGTATTCCTGAATAGGGATAATCTTTATGCTCAAAATACACCTTGCGATTTTTTTTCATTATATCTAAGTGAAAAAAATTATGAATTATTTTCAAGCAATAAAAACTTATTTAATGTAGCTATTAAAATATTTACTTTAACTATTAAGTCAATAACCTAGTTTCTTTTTGAATAATGTGGTTCTTTAATGATTATTATAAATTAGATAACTATTTTTTGAATAAATATAAAAGTAACATAAGTAATAATATAAAACTCAAAATTTTTGCAAACCTTCTATGCTTTTTTCCATGCTTTGTTTAAAAGCAACAACGTAATGCACTGTGTGTAACATTTCATGTTCTTTAATTTTAGCACAGACATCTCCATATGACGCTAAAATATGCCTAGTTTCTAAATTTGCAGTTGGATATGAAATTACAGGAGTGTTTGGGTATGAATCTATTTGTAATAAGCAAAGCAGTAATTACTAGGATATACAACACACAGTAGATATGTATTATATTCATACAATATTAAAATATATTATACATTAAAAATTAATTTAAAACATTACATACATATAAAATACATAAATACAAAACATGCACATACATTATGTATATTCAAAATATGCACTAACGTATGTACGTATGTAAATATTTTATTAAAACTTTTCATAAAAGAGACCTTTGTTTTCTTATTCCTGAAACATTATTCTACAAAAATATCCCATTAAAAAGTTACATTAAAGAATAAAAATTACCCGATAAATCTTCCAATTGGAGAGAAAGTTCATCTTTACTCATTCTTATTTAAATAATAATGCAAAAGTTTATATAAAGCAAACTTCGTGCAAATTTTTATAAACTCGTTTTATAAAAATCCAGCGTGCTTGTTTTTAATTTAAACGCACGCGTATAAGCAGATGAAAACATTCTAGGTCTGCGTTTTTTTAAAAGTTCAAAATGTTATTTTGAATCATCCGATAGAACGCTAACCAAAGGAAAGATACATATTATTACACTGGTAATTTTTCAATGCGATTCTCATATTTTTAATATTTTGTTAAACAAAAACAATGGAAAAACCTATTTAGAGAAATATTATAATACAATCTCAAATAGAACATGCTTTCCTGGCTTGTTTTCAAAAATTGGTAACATAACTTTTAACTGCTCCTAAAACCATTTTAATATTATCTTGAGTTACTTTTTATTTAAATAGATAAAGTTTATTCCATTAGAACATCACAAAAATTTACAATCATTTAAACTCTCCCACAGTAAACAGTAACGGTTTTTCTCGCATTCGACGATGTTAGCGGTTTAGATGTAACAAAAAATAAATATTCAACTATTCTTGGAACTACACTGTCTTTTGTTAGTTTAAAAACATCTGATATGTTGGTTTTAGATAAATATGGTTTTAAATAAGTTGTTGATGACACTGCTAATGATGACAATGGCAATGTTAATGGCAAAAATGTGGCCTTTTTAGAACATATGTCTTTATGATTTTTATAGATTTCATATTCTTGAATTATATTAAATTTCATTTGGCATTAAATACATGCAACAGTCAACATTTTAATGAGAGAATTCGTTTTGTTACTTGTTAATAAATTTTTATATAATAAATGTTCTTGGCATTGAGGACATATTGCTTTACTAATTGGCTTTAACTTTATATTTTCTACAATACAAAAAAAGCAGAAAAGATGCTCGCATTTTTTTAAAGTTAAAGGTTGCTTTGGAATTTTACCGCATATATTACATAAGCAATTTTGCATATGAGGATTTAACTCATTATTTAGCTCTGATATATCTATGTCTTCATCATGTATTATGGTTATTGCTTCTTTTATGGCAGTGAACATTGCAAATGTCCACATCTTTGAATCATTTTTTTGGCGGCCACTACATCTTGCTTTATTTCTAGATTGTTATTTAGAAACTACTAAACCTTTTCTAAGCATTTTTACTGATTGGCAAGTAAAACAGTCATCACAGTGTGGTTTCCATAAGTACAGAGACCAAGGGCAGTTTATGTTTTTCTTGAAAGCACATTGTTTATTGTACAATAACATTTTTTACACATTTTTAGGGGATGGACAATTTCCAAATCTGTCATTTCAACATGAAACAGCTTCTCTAATTTTACTTTAAGAATTTTTAAAATTTTAATTTAACTTTAAGAATTTAAAAAATGGTATATATATATACAATTATATAAAAACATTTTTTTTACAAATCCTTGTAATAATTACTAGGATTTGTAAAAAAATTTTTTGAATATATATGTATATGTATATATATATATATATATATATATATATATATATATATATATATATATATATATATATATATATATATATATATATATATATATATATATATATATATATATATATATATATATATTCAATATATATGTATATATATATATATATATATAAATATATATATATATATATATATATATATATATATATATATATATATATATATATATATATATATATATATATGAGTATATATATATATGTATATATATATATATGTATATATATGAGTATATATATATATATATATGTATATATGTATATATATATACATATATATATGTATATATATATATGATATATATGAATATATATGTATATATATATATATATATATATATATATATATATATATATATATATATATATATATATACATATATATATATATAAAATATGTAAAATGATTTTAATAAAAAGGCAGCATATAACTATTTTAAGGCAGCACATATTTATTAAAATATATATATATATATATATATATATATATATATATATATATATATATATATATAAAATATGTAAAATGATTTTAATAAAAAGGCAGCATATAACTATTTTAAGGCAGCACATATTTATTAATATATATATATATATATATATATATATATATATATATATATATATATATATATATATATATATATATATATATATATATATATATATACATGTGTATGTGTATATATGTATATATATATATATATATATATATATATCGTATAACAAGAATATATATATATATATATATATATATATATATATATATATATATATATATATCGTATAACAAGAAATGATATATATATATATCATTTCTTAATGAAACATATATATATATATACATATATATATATATATATATATATATATATATATACAATCTCAATGAAACATATATATATATATATATATATATATATATATATATATATATATATATATATATATATATATGTATATATATATATGTATATATATATATATATATATATATATATATATATATATATATATACAATGGAAAGTAGTATCGTAGCAACAGGTTACAAAAAGTTAACGATTAAAATTTTATTTTAACCCTGCAAAAAAATTTGAATCCTCATATTAGCAAAAAATGCAAAAAAGATAAAAGGTTCATCTTGCTGAATAAATAAAAATTTAAAAATTTCCACGCTCAAAATTTTTTTTAAAGAGGTTTAAAGATTATAAACAAAAACAGCAAAAGTAGCTTTAGCTGAAAGTAGATTTTATTCACATTCAGAGGTCTAGTATTTTATTTAAAACATTTCTTAGTAAAGCTGCAAGTTATTTTCACAATAATTTTACTTAAAAAAATAGTTAAAAGCCTATTAAGTTATTTAAAATTAAACAAGTTACTCGTTGTTAATGATAAGTTTTTAAAAACATTCATCCGTAGCCATTTTTAAAGGCTAACGGTCTTTCGTATAATTCAAAATAAGATTTTGAATTTTACAAAAATCGCAGACCTAGAATACTTTTGACGGTTGGTACGCATGCGCTTTAAGTGCACCTTATTCTGAAAATAAGGAAAAGACAGTTAAGACTTTAAGACGGTTAAAGTCTTAACCGTCTTAAAGTCTTAACTGTCTTAAAGACTTAACCGTCTTAAAGTCTTAACTAAAATTTTAATCGATCTATTATCTATAGCAAAAATTATTATTCTTGGGGATTTGAATTCTGATTTAATAAAGGCAGACATTTATCCAGGTAAGATGCTTCTTGAAATTTTTGAACTTATCGGAGTCAGAGTTGACAACATTCAACCAACCAGGATAACTGAAACTAGTGCAACCTGCATTGATATTGTGGCGACGCCTTATGACATTCCGATAAATTCTTATATTGTTGGTGAATTAGCAGCAAGTGATCACTTTCCTGTGATAACTTCTTTAGCACTAAAACAAAGCACTATATTACTAGAACCAATTCAAAAGAGGTGTTGGAAAAAAATTAATATGGATGAATTTTGTCAGAGAGCCAGTGCTATCCAAATTGACGTTATTCCTGATTTGACTCAATCCTCTGATGAAATGTTAAACAAATGGATGGTTGATATAAGAAAAATAATAGATGACATGGCTCCCTTTAAGACAAGGCCCATGAGGAAAAGAAGAGTACCTTGGGTCACTGATGAAGTTAAAAAACTAATGTCTGAAAGAAATACTGCAGCAGCAAGAATTCGTCATGGACATCGCAATCGGGATGACATTGATCGATTTAAGGTTCTTAGTAAAAAAACGAAAAGTCAGCTTAGACACGCAAAGAAAGTATATGGATCTGAACTTCTTGGTTCTAACAGAATGTCTGATGCTTGGAAATTCTTACGTGAAATAACATTCACTTCAAAGAAAAGGGAACAAGTACTTTTTGTTGCTACTGAAGTTAATGAATACTTTGCACAGACAATTTCTGCTCCATCTGGTGAAGTTCTGCTGCATAGTGTCATTGGATGTGATAAAGAGGATTGCTTCAATTGGACTGCTCTTGAAACTCATAATGTTGTTAAATTATTGGAATCTTTGAATGAAAGAACTGGAACTGGATGTGATGAGTTACCTGGCCTGATATTAAAAAGGGCTGCCTCTGCTATTGCACCAAATTTACAACTAATAATCAATACAAGTTTTGAACAAGGCATCTTCCCTAATCTCTGGAAAAAAGCTAACGTTACAGCAGTTTGGAAAAGTAAAGGTCAAATGTCTGATCCCTCTAATTATAGACCGATCTCTGTATTACCAGTACTAGCAAGAATGTTTGAGCGAGCTTGTGCAAAATAGCTGGCTCAATACTGTTATGATAGAAACATAATACCACCACAGCAATTTGGTTTTAGATCAGGATCAAGTTGTGAAATAGCCTTATTGTCGGCTAATGAATACTGGAAGAATGCAGTTGATGAAGGAAAAACAGTTGGTGCACTGATGATTGACTTATCGAAAGCATTTGACACTGTTCCACATCAGGGACTACTTATTCAACTTCAGATGATAGGATGTAGCTCTAATGTTATCAACTTTTTTGAAAATTATCTTAGTGATCGAAAACAACGAGTAATTTCTTCTCAACTAGTAACAGATTGGAAACCGGTAACACGAGGAGTTCCTCAAGGTGGAGGTTTAAGTCCACTAGCCTACAATATATATGGACGAGAACTTCCAACTTGTACTAAATCAGTAACTCACCAGTTTGCAGATGACACAACCATATCTGATGCTAATAAATCACCTCAGGTTGTTATAGAGAGGCTCTCAGACAGTTTCAACAATGTCAAGAAATGGTGTGATGAAAAACAATTAATAATTAATGCTGAAAAAACACAATTTATCATCTTTAAAAGCCCAAGTAGAAAACTGCCAGATGAATATCACATTATTTTGGGTGGAGTTTTGATTAAACCATCGACAACAGTTAAACTTCTCGGTGTACTAGTTGATCAACATCTAGCATATGGTTGCCATATGGATGCGATTAAAAAAAAATGTAAAGGTCTGCTTGGTTTACTTGCAAGATCAGCTAATGAACTTCCTCAGGAGTTCTTGAAATTGGCCTACACTTCAATCATACGCTCTCAACTTGAATATTGTAGTGCAGTTTTTGCTCCAGCAGCAAACATTCATCTTCATAAATTTAATGTTATTCAGAAAATAGCTTCAAGAATTATTACCAGAGCACCGAGTAATGCTCACTCCTCACCATTGCAGGAAAAACTTGGATTGGAAAGTCTTAAAACCAGACGAAACAATCATATCATCAATATGATTAATAAAATGATTATGGGAAAAAGTCATCCTGCATTTTCTAATATGTTTTTTAATACTGAGGGAGGACTTTTGTGTAGTCGTGATGATAGAGCTTCCAGAATCAAGATTGGTGACAAAAGATTCAGCAGATATTCAGCAAGCATATTCAATGAAATGAACACATGATTGTATGTGTTCTAGTTGAGCGCATTAACATGGGCCGGCTATCACAAGAATATATATAAAGAACACACTAGCTACAAAGATTACTAAATTATTGGATATGATGAACTGAACAGTGCTTCTGACATGGTTGCTCAAGCGTTATCAACTCTAAATAATAGATCAACAACAACAACAACCGCTAGCCAATATATCTTATTTTGAATTCTGGAACAGAACCCTCCGAATTGTAGTAAGACGAGCTTTGCTCTACAAAATTTTGTAATACTTTTTAGATTAAAATGAGTGAAGATAATATTTCTCTAAATTTTGAGCATTGATTAGGTATAAAGTTTTTCTTTACCTTTTTTTTTTGTAAAATATATGATGCCGAAATAAGAATATACTTATTTCTTTTCAATCTTTTTTTTTTTTTTTTTTTATAATTAAAAGTGTATTATAAACGTTTACCAAGTTTAGAATGTAAATTTAGAACATTGCTCTTGAAATAAATTTATTTACTGAAATGTGTATGCAACTATCTATTTTAATCAAATATGTACCATGTTTTGAAAGTATACTTTAGTTTCTTGTATGAAATTTATAAATTAGTATAATGAAAATGCATTCAAAAAAACCATTTTGTATGTTGTATACTAGATAATATACTTGATAACCTGGTAAATATAGCTTTGTTTGTTTGTTTGAAAATAGATGCACAGCAAATTGATGCACAACCAAACACTGCTGAAGCTTTAAATCCGGCTGCTGCGACAGAAAATAAGTACATATTGGCCAGATATGCAAATGCAAGAATAATAGAGCACAATGTTTCACAGAGTGCATTATGTTGTAACTTTCAATTTAGAAATGAAAAAAATGTTGAAGGTTTGCAATGTTAAATAATTTTTTTTTAAATGGTTTTTACAATACTAGCTTTTTAATTTACTGCATGTGAAGTAAACATTTTTATAGAAGAGAGTGTTCCCAATGAAAAATATGTCCAAAATGATATAAGGCATATGCTATATACCTAATATCATTTTGGTGTTATGTTGTTAATTTAAAAAAGATTCTGTATAGAAAGTTTCTTATTTTTTATATGAAATTTTTTGCTGTTTGTTATTAAATTTAAAAATTAAAATTATTCATTAAATTTAATTGAAATCCTTATTTTTGCCCTTGTTTTTAACTAGTGGTTACACTGGCTTAGCTAAATTTGTGTTCTGTTTTAACCATGCTAAACATAAAATAACAATCGTGATTTATACCTTCAGGGAAAGTCAAAGCAAAAGTGTCTTTTTGAATAATATAGGCTATGTTATTTCAATAAAAATTTAAAGGAAATATAAATATTACCTTCTACATGGCTTCTTTCATCTACAGGGTTTGTTGATATTTTATCTGCATTTCTTCTTTGTAAATGTTTAATCATTTTTATCTAGTGATAAAACGCAATGATTCTAAATGAACATCTGTAAAAGATATGTACAAATTTAAATGGATTGAATGTTTGCATGGCTTTTGATTTTTTTTAATTAAAGCTTGAATAGTTTGAAAGTTTAAAGAACAAAAATAACTTACAACTTTATAGTTGTGCCTGCTCCCAGTGATTCTATAAGATTAGTGCAGTATTTATCAGATAAGGTTTGAGTCCTAGCATACACTTTCTGAATGGGATCTACTTGCATGCTTCATTCCACCTTACCATCTTTCACCTTCAAAAAAAACCGCCTTGCTTGAATACTTAACCTCTTTTAGTAGTTTGCTGTAATCTGGGGCTTCTGTGTTAAAGGGATAGATGCCAAGTTTTCTAAATGAGTTTTTGATATTTATATTCATATAAAAGCTCATTGTTTATATAGCCAGACTTGCTTTTTCAAATAGCAGTAAGCATTTTTGGAAATGCCTTGAACACGTTCATCGGAATTATTATGTTTGCATAGATATTAAAGGTGGAGGGAGAGACCCATCAGCACCGATGTTTGCTGAAAAGAAAGTAATAAACCTAAATGTAGCCCAAACTTTTGAATAAGCATCTAGTTGAATGCAATTTAATGTCCATGTGTCTTGGCAATCCATTGATTTCTACCGAAACTCCTCGTCCTTGATCTGAGACTCTTTCTCTGTTCCATTTTCTCGTACATTTTGAATCAGGCGGGTTTAAAATTACTTTTTGTCCTTGTGTATAGTTGTGGAGAACTTTCTCATTAGTGTTGGGAGAAATTGTGTGTGGTTTCCACTCATAAGAAAATATAGCTTTGTAGGGGCGCGATGCTTTGTCACATTTTTTCTGGGAAGCACGTTATACCAATATACCATTTTTAACGGATTTTTGTCACATCTGGCTGCCATATGCTTGATTGTGCAATGGTGACGTTCAACAATTCCATTTCCATATGATTTTTGAGCGAAAAGTCTTGCTGTTGTCAACCAGAACTCACCATTTAAACTGCTTGCATGGCGTCACACTGTTGCATTAAAAGTGCTTATGTTGTTCCTTGTCCCATGAACAGGATCTTCCTCTGTAAGTCTTTCATTTAAACTGCTTACTATTTTGACAACACGTTTGTTTGCCAAATACTCAAGACCCTTTTTAGAACGCTGCATGAAGGCCGCAACCTATTTGCTATTGGAAAATGTCTGATCAGCTGTACGTATCAAGAAAAAATTTGTTGGTGTTATTTTTCTTTCAGGAACTTTGGGTATGTTGTCACATTTCCAGCAGACTTGGTTGCATTGTTTGTACTCTTTAATCCAAGTACACGACCACCAACAAGTTTTCTGGCAACTAAGAATCCAAGCCATATATTTGCAAAAGTTCTTGAACTGTGCAACTTGACGCAATTAATTATTTGCCGATTTGTTGGCGTTTTTAATTATTGTTTCTAATGATTTTTGCGATTTACTCCAACTTAATCTTTTAATTTTCCCAAAATTAAATCAAATTATTTTTCCATACGAATCTTTATATTTTGGTTGTCATAGAATTTTAATTTGACATATTGAATAGTTGTGTAATAACTGAAAGTGCTTATATATAATGCTTTATACAATTTATTATTTGAATAGATTAAATTATGCAAAGCTAAATTTCACTAAAAAAAAAATAGTTTTTCTTCGAAAAGCATTAAGTTAAATCGAAATAGCACGTTAAATTTAATAAAAATCGTTGCATCAAAGTGCTTAAAATCTCCTGTTTTTGAATTTTAAACTTGTGTTTTTAAAATAAATTTAGTGTTGTGCAATTTATGGACAAAACCTGATTTGCTAACAGAAATAACTGATAGGTTTTATCGTGCATTAGATAAAGGTGGAGGTTAGTTGCTCTTGACATTTCTAAAGCGTTTGATAAAGTTTGGCATGCTGGTCTGCTCTGTAAACTTTTTTCTTATGGTGTATCTTTAAGATTATTAAATCCTTCCTTTCCAATTGTAGTATAAAAGTTATCCTTGATGGAAAGCACTCTTCTTCATATTCTGTAACCTCAGGGATTCCTCAAGGTTCAATCCTCGGCCCTATACTCTTTTTAATTTACATTAACGATCTTCCAGATATTCTCACATCTAAGGTGGCATTGTTCTCTGATGATACTACCTTTTATTCTTGTCATGATAAGAAGCCAATAATCTCTGATTGCTTGGAGGGGGCATTTGAGCTTGAACAGGATCTCACTTCTGCTACAGCATGGGGCTCACAGTGGCTGGTGAACTTTTATTTAAATAAAACTCATTTTTTTCCAGGCAATCGTTATCGCAGTTATTTAGACCGTCCTTTATTAATGAACGGTAATATACTCGATGAGTCATCTACCCTTTATCTTCTAGAATTAACTCTTACTTCCATACTTTCTTGGAAACCATATATCAAATCCATTGCAAAATTAGCATCTGCTTATGTTGCATCTCTTTATTGAGCTCGACACTTTCTCCGGATTTTATTATCTATCTCTATAAATTTCAAATCCGCCCTTGTATGGAATATTGTTGCCATATCTGAGGTGGAACTTCTAATGATGCCCTTTGTCTTTTAGACAAGGTGCAAAAACGCATTGTAAACATAGTTGGACCTGCTCTTGCAGCCAACCTCCAACCATTATCACTTTGTCGTAATGTTCTAATGGGCACTGCTCTAATGAGCTAGTATCCCTTGTGTCATCTACTAAAATTCATTCTCATCTGACTCATCATTTAATTAAGTCTCATCCTTTTTCTGTGACTGTTCCTAAGTGCTCCAAAAACTCCTAATCCTCTAGTTTTTTTCCTCAAACATCAATTCTTTTGAATTCACTTTCTTCATCTTGCTTTCCTGATTCATATAATTTGCAATCTTTTAAGTCGTCTGTCAATCATTATCTTGCTCTACAATCTTCATCTTTTCTCCTCCAGTAACTTCCAACTCTCTAATTAGTGGTTGCTTGCAGCCTTGTTGGAAGCAAAGATGTTTAAAAAAAAAAGTTATTGATTCTTTTATATTTCATTAAAAGAATCATGTATTTAATGCAAGTTTAAAAATGTTTTATTTATTATATTAAATTTTTTGTCATTTTTTTTAGTTAGACCTTAAAGTTCTGCCCGCTTCATTATTTATGATTATTTATGGTTTGACTACTGTTGAAATATGGTTTTAATTTAGTAAATTTTGGTGTACTGAAATTTACTTTATTGATCATTAGCCAACAGTTTTGGTAATAAAATTGAATTTCACGTTGTCAAGGTAAGAATAACTTTTTTTCTTGTTAATGATAATTATAAAAAACTGTTTAAGACCATTAAACAGTTTTTTATAATTAAAATGTCATTGCTAGTTTGTGTTAGTATTTGTCACAGTATCCAATAGTTTTTGTTATACTTATAGCAAAATTAAGGTCCTCATAATTTTTTGGAGGCTTTTAAATACATCTTTTATCAACACTACTCTCAGTAAGAATGGAATATTTTCCTTAAAGAAGATTTTAAATTAATACCAAGATACTTTATGAATAAACCTATTTAATGCCTCGCATGATAAGTTTATCAAGTTAATTATGTTTACTCTTTTATTGCTGATTACTTATTTTTAAATATCGTTTCTATAGTTAGCCAATAAGACTTGGGTAAAGTAAAATTGACACTTTATTGATTAAAATTTAGCTTTACAAAAGAAAAAAAAAAAAAAAGCAATTAAACAATTTAATTACTACTTATTTGTAATTAAATTAAATTTTTTTTTTCAAATATAAGAAGATTTTTTTTTTAACATCTTCGCTTCCATTAAGGCTTTAAGCAACCGCAATTAGAGTTAAGTTACTGTAAGAGAAAAGATGAAGTTTATAAAGCAAGATAACGATTGAAAGACGACTTAAAATATTGCAAATTATATGAATCAGGAAAGCAAGTTGAAGTAAGCAAACTCCAAAGAATTAATGCTCGAGGAAAAAAACTAGACAAATTTTTTTTTTTAGTTTTTAGAGTCTTTAGAGCACTTAAGAACAGTTACAGAAAAAGGATGAGACTCAATTGAATGACTAATCACACGCGAATGAATTTTAGTAGGTAGCACAAGAGGCGCTAACTTTTTAGAGCAGTGCTTATTATAGTATTTGTAGAAAAGAGAAAGAGAAGCAACATTACGACAAAGTGATAATGGTCGGAGGTTGGCTGCAAGAACAGGTCTAACTATATTTACAATGAGTTTTTGCACCTTGTCTAAAATAGAAAGGGCATCATTGGAAGATCCGCCTCAGATGTAACAACAATATTCCATACAAGGACGGATTTGAGATTTATAGAGATAAAGAATAGAATCTGGAGATAGAAAGTGTTAAGCGTGATAAAAATTAGCACCTTAGCATGTGCTAATTTTGCAATTGTTGTTCAAAATGACAACAAAATAGCAGCGAGTGCATAATAAAAGTTTTAACTCCTTTAGTGAAAAATCCTAATTTGCCTCTAAATAAACGATTACTGATTATATACCTATAAATTAGATTATATTTACATTACATTTACTATTATTACATAATTTTAATTACTTATTTATATATAACTTTAATAAATTGTCGATACTTGTATTCCAAGCTGACGAATTTTAGAAATGGTTGGATGTTCAAAAAGGACTATGGTTAGGATTATTTAACAGTGGTAACAACTTGAAAAACATTTTAAAAGTTTGGTCAAAATTATGGCAAAAATGCATAACTTACAGACAAAAGATTTAAATTATAAAGAAAAACCATTAAGTCAAGTATTTAAAGATATATAAAGTTGCGATGCTGTAAAAAAATGATTATCATGAAGTTGTGCAGGAAAGTTATACAAATAATGTAAAAAGAAACCAAGTATAATTATCGATGATGAAACTCAAGTGAACTTAAATTTCAAAATAATCCCAGGACATTTATATATAGGGGTCTACAGGTAAATGTCGGACACTAATTTTAAAACGATAAATATGAAGAAATTCCTAAATAATATTATGATTTGGCCATATATATATATATATATATATATATATATATATATATATATATATATATATATATATATATATATATATATATATATATATATATATATATATATATATATATATATATATATATATATATATATATATATATATATATATATATATATATATATATATATATATATATTAAAGGCCGTTTTCCACAAGACGAAAAATTCGTGCGAAGCGAATTTTTTCGCTACGACGAAACGCTGTTTTGATTTCCACTTACTTTCTTTCGCGCTACTTTTTTTTCGTTGTCAACAATAAAAATGGCAGCAATAAGTTTACGCATTATGTTTAACTGAAGGCAGTTAATACTTTTTTAGCATACTTTCTACTTTGAAGCATGTGAAAATTTCTTTCCGTGCATTAATATTAACATTTCTGCCTTTATATGTAAGATGTGATATTATTTTGTAATTAATCGTTTAATATAAGGTTTTTTTTTACAAGAAAGTATAAGAAAATAAATGCTAAATTCTGATATGAACATTTCTATTAAAAACTATTATTGCAAGAACGAACAGCAGGTTTAACTCTATAAAGAATTTTTCACAAAAAGGTTTATCTTCGTGTGGCCATTTGAAGATAAACATTCTTATGAAGTGTAACTTCCGTGTGAAAATTTATATTTGTAAATTTTCGATTTAGTTTTATATATAAGTCTAGTCATTTTTATATGTAAGTCTTGGCCCTACTCATGCTAGCCAATTTTTAGAGTAAGTTCATATAAAATAAGTAAGAACGCCAGGTTAAGAATTTTGTTTTTTGTTACTTTAAAAACAACATGTTTTTTTTTAATGTTGACATCACGTGATATAATATACAAAATTTTATTGGTTTTCGCTTATGGCGATAAATGAATCCGACTTTTTTTTTCGCTGCAGTATAATCGCCAAAAATGTTTAATCTGCACATGCTTAACGGCGAAAAAATTCGCTTCACGCGAATTTTTCGTCTTGTGGAAAACGGCCTTAACATACGTTTAAGTAAGTTTTAAGTTTTTTTAATTAATAGTGAAATTTAACTAAAGTATGTAGAGTACTTAGAAAAATTATTTTATTGTTATTGATACTATGGTAGATGAACCCACAATCAGAGTTGCCACTTTGATTTTAAAGTTTTTTCCTGAGTAAAGAACGTTTTTCCCTGAGTTAAACTTATAAACTCCCAGACTTTTCTATATTCTTTCCCGTTTCTGGTGTTAAGAGAAAGCAAAATTATTCTTACCTTGACGGTCTTGAATTCAACTTCATCACCAAAACTGTTGGCTAATGATCAATAAAGTAAATTTCAGTACACCAAAATTTACTAAATTAAAACCATATTTCAACAGTAGTCAAACCATAAATAATGAAGTAGAACTTTAAGGTTGAACTAAAAAAAATGATAAAAAATTTAATATAATAAAAAAATATTTAAAACTTGCATTAAATATAATACTCTTTTAATGAAAATATAAAAAAAGTCAATAACATTTTATGAAGATCAAAAGAAATGGCAAAATTTAAACTTAAAAACATGTTCATAATAAAAAATTGAATTATACATGGTAAACTACTCAGTAGTCGACAACCACTTATAGTCTTTTTTTTTTTCAGACGTTTAGTCACTAAAAAATAGGCTGAATAAACACTAACCAAAGTAAAGTGCCAATATAGAGTCTGAAAAGATCACCTATCTTTCCTTTACATATGAACGAAATTTGGTTATCATAAACATAATAATAAACGCATATGATTTGGTGCAAAAAAGTTCCAAAAATACCCTTAAACTCTTAGAAATCATAACTGTTTCCAGATAACCATAAGAAACGCATGTCAAATATAATGTATTTGAATTTTTTTTTTTTTATGCTGACACTGAAATAAATTTAAAAAAAAAAAAAAAAAAACAATCATTGAAAATAAAAAAATTGAAAGAAGTGGGAGTACAAGGGTTGAATTGAAATTGAAAGAAGTGGGAGTGCAAGGGTTGTCAAAGGCTGGAAGCAAATTATTATGTTTTCCAATATTTGACAAAAACAGAACAAAACAAAAAATTATTATTATTACTTTATAGTATAATAAGGGTTCATAGTCACATACTTTATGCCATTTTGACTAGAGATTTATTTGAAACTAACACTTTTTAACTTTCACTGCATTCTAGTCATTAACAGAATTTTTTTTGTTTGATTGTTTGCTAGGATTTTTAGAGATTTACTACAAAAAATGATCAAATGATTTAGAAGAATATAAACAAATTTAATAATAATAGAAACATTCATTTGAGAACTCCTTGGTTTGAATTTAATCTCGGGGGGATTAACAGTGTTTAAGTTTGAAACATCGTTAATAAATCTCTAAAATCAATCTTATCTTTATTTTAATGTTTCAGCATTGTTTCTGACTCTGTTTTGACATTAAAATTAATTAAATTAAAAATAAAACAAAGTTAAAATATCTCCTAAAATACGCAGCTGCTCAAGCGTATGGCAGCCAGATGTGACAAAAATCCGTTAAAAATGGTATATTGGTATAACGTGCTTCCCAGAAAAAATGTGACAAAGCATCGCGCCCCTACAAAGCTATATTTTCTTATGAGTGGAAACCACACACAATTTCTCCCAACACTAATGAGAAAGTTCTCCACAACTATACACAAGGACAAAAAGTAATTTTAAACCCGCCTGATTCAAAATGTACGAGAAAATGGAACAGAGAAAGAGTCTCAGATCAAGGACGAGGAGTTTCGGTAGAAATCAATGGATTGCCAAGACACATGGACATTAAATTGCATTCAACTAGATGCTTATTCAAAAGTTTGGGCTACATTTAGGTTTATTACTTTCTTTTCAGCAAACATCGGTGCTGATGGGTCTCTCCCTCCACCTTTAATATCTATGCAAACATAATAATTCCGATGAACGTGTTCAAGGCATTTCCAAAAATGCTTACTGCTATTTGAAAAAGCAAGTCTGGCTATATAAACAATGAGCTTTTATATGAATATAAATATCAAAAACTCATTTAGAAAACTTGGCATCTATCCCTTTAACACAGAAGCCCCAGATTACAGCAAACTACTAAAAGAGGTTAAGTATTCAAGCGAGGCGGTTTTTTTTGAAGGTGAAAGATGGTAAGGTGGAATGAAGCATGCAAGTAGATCCCATTCAGAAAGTGTATGCTAGGACTCAAACCTTATCTGATAAATACTGCACTAATCTTATAGAATCACTGGGAGCAGGCACAACTATAAAGTTGTAAGTTATTTTTGTTCTTTAAACTTTCAAACTATTCAAGCTTTAATTAAAAAAAATCAAAAGCCATGCAAACATTCAATCCATTTAAATTTGTACATATCTTTTACAGATGTTCATTTAGAATCATTGCGTTTTATCACTAGATAAAAATGATTAAACATTTACAAAGAAGAAATGCAGATAAAATATCAACAAACCCTGTAGATGAAAGAAGCCATGTAGAAGGTAATATTTATATTTCCTTTAAATTTTTATTGAAATAACATAGCCTATATTAAGTTGCATGTATTATGTAAATGTTTACCCTGACATTCCAACTTAATATTGGTTTCTTGATTTTTAATTTCTACTTTTATTTAGGCGTGACAGAGGAATCATTGTTACCTTCTCATGCCTTAACTCTATCAACATTGCATTCAAACAGCTATAAGCAAAGCCTTACTACATCATAGATGGTGTCCATTGCCAAAGAAGACTGTTCCTAAAGTTAGGATAGTAGCTCAAGAACTCCATACAACATCTGTCTTGACAACACCTCTAGTAGTTTCTTTTTTGGAGGATATCCAACAAAAAAAAAAGAAAGATACTATTGCTGCCTAAGGTCACAAACAAGTACGATTAAAAAACGCAGAAAAGAAAAAAACACACACACATACAGCTGTTGTTAAAGGAAAATTAAACTTATCCTACCCTGTAAAATATAAAGTACAGACTTTAAAATCTTTTCTTTACAGTATTTTTTTATATTTTACGTTGTAAACGATAAAAAGAATACTTTTTCATTTTGCTACATATCATTTAAACACCTGTGTTTGAAAAAGTACTTACAATTTTAAAACACTGGGTGGTCAAACACTGGGTGGTTTGCCCTTTATACAAATATATTAATTCTAGATTTCCAAATACAAAATCAAATATATGCAACCAGGACTTTGGGATCATTAATAAAGTATGCACTCTCACATAGGGGAGCACAGAAGTTTATTTAAAATTTAATTTAATTTTTGTATGCTTAAATGGCATTCAGATTTAAATATTAAAAAGTTAAAATTTTTGTCTATTTAAAAGTTGAACAATTTGGAAGAAAAAAACCCTTTAAAACCCAACAGTTTTTAAGTATACTCAGAAAAAAGTGATGAAAAAAAAAAAAATTTGGAAGAAAAAAACACTTTAAAACCCAACAGTTTTCAAGTATACTCAGAAAAAAATGATAAGAAAAAAAAAAAAAAAAAATTATGGATCTTAAATTTGGAAAAATATAATTTAATAAATTTTTCTGGCTAATAATAATAATAATAATAATAATAATAACAATAATAATAATAATAATAATAGTATTATAGGAAAAAAAATTGGATAATTTTCATAAAAGTGATATAAAAACTGTAAATTTCTGCACATGATTTTACTGCATTTTTGAAACATTTCAGTCATTATCTCTGAAACTGTTAACTAAACCGCAGGAAAAAAGAGCCTATGAGATAGAGGGCATGTGGTTAATTATAAAAGTAAGACACTAAACAAAAAATCATAAAACCTTGGGTAGGTAGGTTAAAAGCGTAGGTACTTTTAGAAAGGTGAAGGGTACTCAAAATAAAAGCGTACATACTTTATGGACAACCTCTTTCCTAATACAAATATTTGAAGAGCTAAGTGCTAAAAGTATTTAAATCACAAAATAAATGGTTTAAAAAAATCTATTTTGATCAGTCATTTTAAATCCTTATTTTGAAGTGTTTCTGATCAAAGTATATTTCCTCAAAACATTTATTTTGCGACTTGAGTACTTTTAGCACTAAGCTCTTTATTTGTACTTTAGTATAAAAAAAAAATACTAAGATTTTTTAGAGACAAGACTAATATAACCGTAAACTTGATAGAAAAATAAAAAAAAGTCTTCTAACAAATTTCCCTTAAAAACAAATTATTAATTAATTTAGAGTTACAAACAGAAAAAAAAAGCACAAGCCTCTTGATTTTTCCTAAAAAAAAAAGCACAAGATAATATGGTTTAGGAATAGCAAATACATTTTAATTACTAATATTCAAGAAACTTTTCTGAAAATTACAAATTAGCCCATTTTTACCAGACCACCAGATAGTCAGGTACTCAGCACATCTCTATATGTATAAATATATTGATAAATAGACACTCCTTAGAGAGTCTATTGTTGTAGTCATTACAACAGGATGACTACAACAACAGGATGACTACAACAATAGGCCACCACCTGTTTATTAAGACTTGTCCCCGTCCTAATATCTCTACATTTATTACATCTGGAGAAATATCCCACCCAGGGTTGGCAAAAACCCGGGTTTTTTTAAAAAAACCCGGCCCAGTGGGTTTTTTTGGGTTTTATTGGGTTTTATTGGGTAAATTTGGGTTTTTTTGGGTTTAATTTTTATTTTGTCTCTGTAAAAATTTTTTTGTGTTTTTGTTTAATGATATTGAAAATTAGTTTTTTTCTACTTTAACTTTATTTAAAATATATTTAATATATTGTTGTTTAATTATTTATAACAAGAATTTTTCAAATTATTTTGATAAAGATTTTTAAATATAATTTAAAACTGTAATAGAAAAAAAAAATTTCACGCTTAATCTATATGTATTGATTTATTTTAAATTTAAAAGTATTATTCTATATAATTAAAAATGTCAATGAGAAAATGTAAAAAAGAAGGCTTGAGAATGGGAGGTAGTAACTGAAGTTTCAATTAAACTTTGAACTTGAAATTCAAATAGTTCCTCTGCGCAGCGGCCTTGTTTATAAAGATTCGTGTTTAGGAGTTAAAGAGTTTTTTTTTTTTTTAAATCAATTCACCTCCTCAAAGCTTATGACCATATGTCAAAACTACAGGCGAGGAGGCTACTTATTTGTGGTTATAATCCTCTCTCAACTCTATAACTCCGAAACACGAACCTTGACAAACAAGGCCGCTGCGCGGATAAAGGAGTTGAGCGCGGTACTGCCAGGGACGTGGTGGGGATTGAACTCAGAACCTCTCACTTATGAAGTGAGCGCTCTACCACAACACCACTACCGCAAAAGAGTTGAGAGAGGGTTGTAACCACAACAAGGTAGCCTCCTCGACTGTTGTGTTGGCTTCTCTGGTCACTACTACTCATTTAAATTCAACTTGGGAGGTGAACAACATAAAGTAATAAAAATCTCAATCGATAAAAATATTTGAATAAAAATTGTAATAATGTATTTCCAAATAATGATTTAAATAATAGTAAACCTGCTCTGATAGCTGTTATTGTTGGTTATAATAGTTAATAATAATTAAGTTAATAATAATAGTTAATAATTATTTTAGTAAATAATATTATAGTTATAATGTTAAAGTTGGTTACAATAGTTCATAAACTTATTAAATATCTTTAAAAAAAACCCAATAAAACACAGATTTTCCAGGGTTTTATTGGGTTTTTTTAGGCGGGTTTTTTTGGGTTTTATTGGGCGGGTTTTTTTGGGCGGGTTTTTTAATGCCAACCCTGATCCCACCCATCCATCCCACTTTGTATAAAGCACTAAAAAGTAACTTGACGATAATGAAACTGAAACATTTTTGACCTAATCAAATTGCTCCTTTAGTTGTTGTTGACTTGCTTTTTTTGTTTCCTTGGTAGTTTAAAAAATTCATGCTTAACATTTAAAAAGTTATTAAAATTTTACCAGAGGTGAGTTGAATTATACAAATGCAAATGTATAGGCTATTTTTTTTTCTTTCAAAAGTTGTATTAAATAATTTAATCACAACAAATTGTATTTTGATTTTTTCTAAAACAGAAATAAATATATTTTAAAAAAATATTTTAAAGAAACATATATTATAATTTTCTTATTAAATTTTTCTAAAAAGACCAGACAATGATAATTTTTTTTGTAAAATGGTAGATATTGGTTTTCTTTTTTTATCACTTATTAGATAAAAATAAATATGAAATTTGTGATAAAAAATGGAAAGCGCCGATAACAGAGTCATGCCAATAACTATGAATCTATCATATCTGTCATTTCCATGTTGGCAGTCAAGAATGCTGCATGAAAAAAAAAAAAATTAAGGGAATTCCGGAGAATGGATAATCTCTATGCTTAAAATACACCTTGTGACTTCTCTTCAATATTTCTGGATAAAATAATTCTACATAAAGGTATTGGAGTTTAAAAAAACAAAACAAAACAAAAAAAAAACAACAATTTTTTAAAGTTATTTTTGGTGTTTGTTAAACATCATCAGGGTTTATCTAGATTCTAAATGAAAGATTTTCCTGACTCAACTCAAATATATAAATAACTTCCCTGACTTTCTTTTTCTTGAAAAACAATCTTTACCTCCTGACTTTTTCCAAAAAACTACCCTTTTCCCCCTGACTCATATTATTAAAATAATTATAAATAGTCTTCAGAAAAAACTCACATCGACTTGCAGTGACACTAGCATCTAAAAAAAATTATTCACATTGGCATGCAATGACACTCACATATATAATAAAACTGCATATATGACTGATCATGTATGTTTTTTAATTAAAGGCCTATATTTATTTACACTTAACAACAACTAATTAAAAAAGTCTTTTTTATGACAAAACTTTTTCAAAGTTTTACATTTCTATAGCTTTATCTTGAAAATCAATTAATTTATAAAGAAAAGGAATAGCTACAATAAAGTAATATCTTTTAAAAAAAGGGAGATTAGTTTCACGTTATTTTCTTTTTTTTTTCTATCTCTCTAACAAAATTTGAACTGCTTTTTCTATAATTTTAATTTCAAGACATTTATCTTCACTCTTCCTTTTCATATGGTTTCCTTTGATAACTCCAAATCTTTTTTTTCTTCTGTCTCTTATATGATAAAAATAAACTCAATATCTAAATTGTTGTAAAAATCTAGTAAAAATTTTTTTTCTATTTATTCATCAATGATTTTGGTTAAAATTTTTAACTGATGGTTGCTTTGATTTTTCTTGCATTCTTTCTCTTTTGATCAAGGTCTAGCTAATATTTTAGGCACGCGCCTTTCACAAACCTTATAAACTTGTTTGTTAGTTTCATTGTTGAAGGTATCAGGTTGTTCTTTTACACATGTTCTACCCATCATCTTTCTTTATATTATTTGGTTATATATTGGTTACAATCTTAATAACATAAAGTCTTCTCTACCATTGTTTTACTATGACTTGTAACTAAAACCAATATAAGAGCAAAATAGATTTTAACTTTTTGGTATATGTATAGTGGGTTTATGAAAAAAAGAAATTATTAAGTCTAGCGCTCTCGCAACTTGAAGACGAGATTTTAACAGAACTGAATATTATGGCAAAACTTTCTCTGCTAAAGTTGCATTAATAATCTTCAACAAGTCAAGAGTTGTTTCATCTTGCTTCGTAATTTGACCAGTTGCATACAGAATTTGGATCTATCGATTGGATTGGTCATATACAGGAACTTGAATCAAACACACTTGCAATTCATACCATGCAATGATGTAATGAACTTTTTCGAGTGATTTTCTCCAATAAAAAAATTACCGTATTTGCAGCGTCCTTCTTTAACTTTTTTTACATCTGCAGATTTCATTTTATCTTGACGTAATAAATTCTGAAGTTTTTTTTAAGTCGAAAATCTAAATGAATATCTTTTATCTCTAGATAAATACTTTTATCAGTAATATCAAGCTCTAATAAGTTAAGAACAGAATAACATTTAAGGAAAATATCAGTTTTAACAACCAACTGAATTAGGGATCTATGCAGCATCTCTAGGTCCTTGCCAAGA